GAAGGAAGGGGAAGAAAGAGACAAGGGTGGCGAAGGTGAAGGTGCCGGCAGCCATAGCCGAGGTGGAGAGTTGACCGGACGGTTGACCGGGCGTTGACCGGTGGCTTGACCAAGGCATTGACCGGGGTCTTTCCGCGTTGACCAAGCGTTGACCAAGGAGTTGACCGGCGCGGTTGTCCAAGACCCTGACCAAGCTGGAGTTGGTAACACCTCGCCAAGCCTTAGCCTATCCCCTCGCCCTGTGGATGTGCACTCACCCGGCGGTACTTGCTGAGTCTGAGTATGTCTGTCTCTTCCTTCTGCATCGAGTCTCTTCTGTCCTAGGTGATAGCACTCTGTGGATGAAGGATAGTGCTTGGATGACGAAACCCTAGGCTGACGTTGTAGGGCTGAGACTGTGGCTGATCCAACTTTCCAGGGGGGCATAACCCTCCCAAGGACCGGTGCTGACCGGCTAGAAACGGTTGGTAGGACTCAGTGGGCCTGAACAGCAGTTAGGGCTGACACACCAGGCAGTCCTTGAGTATTGAGGGCCTGTTTGAACCACTCCCCTACCGGACCAAGTAAGGATGAGGATCTGTGTCTGATGACTTGACTGTCCCGGGGGATACGAACCCTCCCAAGGACCGGTACAGACCGGCGGTCTGCTCGGTGTGGCACACTAGGTCGGAAAGGCTGAGTTGTGGGCTGAAAGCACAGGCGGAACCAAGCTGATCACGTCGTCATGTTTGCGACGTTAAAGAATTCTTGCGGAGTTAAGGGGGATCTCCTTAAATGCCTCCAGATCAGCCTCTGGTTCAGTAGTGACAGCCTTAGGTCTAGGCTAGTGACCATAGCTGACAGGGTTCTACCCTGTGGTCCATAGAGAGTCAGTCAGTCAGTGGTTTGGGTAGGTCTACGTGGTGAGGAGTGGGACATTGTCGTGCACCTGAACACCATGGACGACTACCCTATGTGTGGTTTACTCGTTGGGTTCTCCCTCTGGGGGGACCCTCTGGCGTTTCCTCTTTCCCCTGGGGTTTTGGCAGAAGTTCACGTGTAGAGTAGATACCCGGGGTGGTGCCTCAACCAAGCCCTACACGAAGGAAGAGGAGGAAAAGATGGCCGCCATATTGAAGGAGAGGCAGGAGAAGAAAGAGGCCAAGAAAAGGGCCCTGATGGAGGCACAAGCGGCGAAGTTGAAGATGATAGAGGAGGAGATGGCCAGAGAAAAGGAAAGATTGAAAAAAGAAGAAGAGGAGAAACTAAAAGAGGTGGAAGAGGAAGAGGAGGAGGATGAGCAGCCACTGGAAAGGAGGAGAGAGCAACGAGGGCAGTACAGTGGCAGCAAAAATGATGAGATGGAGAAGAGAGTGGGTTGCCAACTTGTCTTTGGGAGAAATGGAGGAGGTAGCCATGTATATCCCCAAGGACGAGCAGGAGGCTGCCATGAAAGAATGGGAGGCAGAAAGAGATGCTTTGAAGCGGCAGGCGATGGAAGATGAGAAGAGAATGGAGTGGAAGTTAAGGATGATGAGGGAGAAGAAGAAGAGGGTGGACGCAGCAAGTGCAGCGGTCAAAGAGTTGGAGGAGGTGCAGAAACTGAGTCTACAATTGACCCCTCAAGTGGACCTCCAACGTAAGGTAGAGATCATTGCCCACAGTGTCGAGCGCTTGGCTCGAGTGCAGGAAGAACAGTACGAGTTTAGTCGAAGTCAGGATATGGTCGTGCACTCGATGCGGATGGGATTTCAAGACTTTGGTCGCGAACTGGTAGGCGCTGTAGGTGCCGAGGTGAACCATCGCCTCGAGAAGACCGAAAGATTTTGCGGCGGCGCCATTGAAGGCGTCAAGGCGACAGCTCCCAAGGAGGAAGAGGCACGTCCTCGTAGGGAGCCAATCAAGGTCAAGTTCCCCGATTCCTACAGTGGAAAGAGGGAAGAGAACTTTGACAATTGGGAGGCCAACGTGAAGACCTATGTGCACTTGCAGCAGGTCTCCCCAGATCAGCACGTGTTGATAGCCATTCATGCGCTTAGAGATGAGGCAGCCAGTTTCACGAGGTCCCTAGTCCGCTCTGCCAACTGCAACGATGATGCAGTTGCCTACTCTTCATTCACCCCCCTCGTAGATTTCATGAAATTGTTGTGCGAGCAATTTGCTGACGTCGCCCGCAGTGTCAAAGCCTCAGATAGGCTTCAGACCATCCATTCTCGGCAATGGAAGAGTGCCAGGGCACTCAAGGGTGTTATGGACGATTGGGTGGCTGTTCCTGACCACGGGGTCTCAGAGACCCAGTTGGTCAACCTCTTCTACAGGGCTATGCCCGAATCGCTGCGTGGCCACTTCTTTGCGAAAAGTCAAGACCCCGCCATGACGTACGATGCACTCAGCAGGGAAGTGGTAGCCTTTGAGGCAAAGTCTGTGTCAGTTTCCACTTTCTGGCACAAAGACTTAGATAAGGGAAAGAAGTGGAAAGGTCGCACTATCTCAGGGCAAGTTAAGACCAAGGATAGTCTTGTCCTTACCTTAGACGAAGGTAGTGCAGACGAGATCCCCTACGAACAGATTGAGTGGGGGTTAGAGGATGAGGACAGCAGTGTAAGTCAGGGGAGAACTTATGCTGCTGTCGCGGCTGGAGGGAGGCCGCAAGGAGGAGGACGAGGCCAGGGCCAAGGGGGCCGAGCCCCGGGGAACCGATCTCAAGGCGATCAGGGGGTTGGCGGCAGGAGAGGGAACCGCCAAGCGGGAGGCAGGGGTCAAGGTCCCCTGCAAAACCGTTCTGGGAATAGGTCTCCTTATAGGAGAGGTGGATGGCACCGAGGGCTACTGCAGGGTAAGCCTTGGGAAGATTTGGGTCTAAACAAGGGCTTATGGCAACAGCGTGTGGACCGGGGTCAGTGCATTTATTGCGATGACCCGGGCCACATCATTAAATATTGTCCCAAGTGCAGACATGCCCGATTGGCTGCTCAAGGGTCAAACGGCAGCCGCCGGTAGGGGTAGAAACTGCCCCTACCATTAGGCCACGTGGGGAAAATAGCGCTAGCCGGCCGGAAACTCCCACACCACATGCGCCTACGGTAGAGGTTGTAGGCCGGTGTCTAAGTAGCTGTCCAGAGACTGCTTGTGTTAGGGTCTCTTTAGACACCTCCCTCACAGGCGTGGCAAAGGAATTGAAGGAGAGGATGCCCGCCTGGGCCAAGATGAAAAAGGAACAGAAAGGACAACTCATATTAGTGGATGTAAAGATCTTCAGAGGTAGAGTAGGGGCCGTAGTAGATTCAGGGGCCAGCCGCAGCTATATCAGTAAGAAAGCGTTGCAGAAGTTGAAGTTGGGACTTAAAAGTTTAGAAACTAGCAGACCCCGTAGTTCGTATCCTCGCAGACAACCGTACGATGGTTGTAGAGGGAGTCCAGGCGTATTTCCGCCTAGAGAAAGATGGGAAAGTGGAGAAGGTCCTCCGCTCCCTGACTCTCCTCGTAGAAGATAGCCTCCCATTCGATATTGTCCTGGGAATGGATTGGGGAGAGGCAGCCGGGGCCACACTCCATTTGAAGGAGCACGAGTGTAGGCTCCCTAGCCCTTCAGGCGAGGCTAAGACTGCCCGCCTGTTTCATGTGTCAGGAGTAGAGAACCCCCTGACATATTGCTGCCTTAGTGCTCCTGCGTTCGCAAGATTAGTGAAAAATCCAGCATCGCATTGAGATAGAGCCTGGCAGTAGAACTCAAAAGGGCGCCGTGTACAGGATGTCCCCGCGGGAGTTGGAGGAGCTTCGCAAGCAGCTAGACGAGCTCCTTGAGAAGGATTGGATTAGGCGCAGCTCATCTCCATTTGGAGCACCTGTTCTCTGTCCCCAAGAAAGAAGGAAAGTTGAGGATGTGTATAGACTATAGGGGTCTGAATGCTATCACAGTGAAGAATGCTGAGCCACTGCCTAGGATAGATGATCTCCTAGTTAGAGTGCAGGGGGCCTAGTACTTCTCCAAGATAGATTTAAAGTTCGGTTATCACCAAATTGAGGTGCATCCTGATGACTAGTACAAGACAGCCTTCCGGACTAGGTATGGGCATTATGAGTTTGTAGTGATGCCCTTTGGACTGACCAATGCGCCAGCAACGTTCCAGCGCTGTATGAACGATTTGTTTAGGCCATGGTTGGATAGATTTCTAGTTGTTTACTTAGACGATATTTTAGTGTTTAGTAAGACCCTCCGAGAGCATCAGGGTCATCTCAGGCAGGTCTTGGAGAAGCTGAGAGAAGCTAACTTCAAGATCAATGCCAAGAAGTGCGAATGGGCGAAGACCCAAGTGTTGTATCTAGGCCACGTCTTAGACGGGGATGGCGTCAAGCCAGAAGACTGCAAGATCGCAGCGTACGTTGACAGAGTTGCGGTTATTCCTGGGCCTAGCTAACTACTATAGGACGTTCGTGAGGAACTTCTCCACCATCGCTGCGCCCCTTCGCAGATTGCTCAAGAAGGAAGCGATCTGGAAGTGGGACAAGGACTGTACATCTATGAAGAAGTTAAAACAGGCGTTAATAGAGTTTCCAGTCCTTAAAGTGGCTGACCCGTCTTTACCTTTTGTCGTCACGACTGACGCAAGTCAGTACGAAATAGGTGCTGTTCTGCACCAAGACGATGGCAATGGTTATATCCCCATAGAGTTCATGTCCGCTAGCATGCCTTCAGAGAAGGTTGCGATCTATACCTACGAGAGGGAACTCTACGCTCTCAGGCAAGCGCTAGAACACTGGAAGCGCTACTTGCTTGGGAGGCACTTCAAAGTCTATTCTGACCATGAGAAATTAACATGGTTAAAGACTCTGGCCAAGATGACACCTAAGCTTACTAGGTGGGCCGCAAAAATATTAGTAAGATTTTGAGCTCAAGCCAGTAAAAGGGAAGTATAACGTAGTGGCGGATGCTCTGAGTAGGAGAGCTGATTACTTTGGGGCCATAGTGCACTATCTGGACATAGGGAAGGACCTGCAACAGAACGTTAGAGAGGCGTACGCGCAGGACCCTATTTACAGTGAACTCCTTAATAGAGTTAAGGAAGCCCCAGAAACCAAATCCGATTACCGCTTAGCGAGAGGGGTTGCTCTTTGAGAAGACCAACGTATTTGACCGATTGTGCATTCCCAATAACGAAGAGATCCGTAGTCTGATCTTAGGAGAATGTCATGACACAGAGGGTCACTTTGGTTGGCAAAAGACTGTAGCCAATCTGATGCACGCGTACACCTGGCCCGGAATGAAGAATGACTGCATAGAATATGTTCGCAGTTGTAAGGTTTGCCAGAGGAATAAGTCCACTACGTGTGCCCCGCTAGGTCTTCTCAGACCCTTGCCCATTCCTGACCAGCCGGGAGATTCCGTGTCCATCGACTTCATGGATACCCAGGTCAAGAGTAGACACGGCAAGAGCCAAGTTATGGTCATAGTAGATAGATTCAGTAAGTATGTTGTTTTTGTCCCTTTGCCTTCAAAGGCACGCACAGAGTTAGTCATTCGCTAGTTTTTTTATCATTGGGTCAGTGAGCAGGGGGTCCCATTGTCTATAGTTAGTGATAGAGACACCCGGTTCACGAGTCAGAATTGGTAGGAATTGATGAAAGTCTATGGTTCCAAGTTACTAATGTCATCTGGCCGTCATCGAGAGACCAATGGTCAGACTGAGCAAATGAATAAGATCCTGCAGCAAGTTCTGAGAATGTACATTAGGCCAGATCAAGTTGACTGGGATGAGATGCTTCCCAAGGTAGCCAGTGCTTACAACAATAGTGTGCATCTGTCTACGTGTCGCACTCCCAACGAACTGCACAAGTCCTTCAGACCGCGTAGACCATTTGAAGGACTTAACCGGGATCAGATTCATAGGCTACCGCCCGGTACTAGGGAATTTGCGATTCAACATGAGAAAGAGATAGCAACTGTTGTAGAGAACGTCATAAAGGCCCAGCACTGGATGATAGAGCAAGCCAACAAACATCGTCGCCCGTCCCAGTTCCAAGTAGGCAACTTAGTCTGGGTCAGCGCGAAAGAGTTTGCTCCTGAGGAGAACATCTCGCAGAAGTTACTGCCTACGTATAGAGGGCCATGGCCGGTTCTAGAAGTCAAGGGTGGAGAGGATGGTCCGTCCTATACTGTTGAGATTCCACTACACCTCCACACCTACCCAGTTTTCCATGCGTCAAAGTTATTGCCATGCACAGTGAGTGATCAGTTCCCGTCGAGACGATCCATGATCCCACCAGACATGGATGGAAGATATGAAATTGACGACATTGTAGGTGAAGATGTGTTTAGAACAGGAGGTAGGGGTCGTCCTCAGAAACAGTACAAGGTCCGATTTGCATATCAGGAACCAGAAGACGACCGGTGGTTCAGCAGATCTGAACTTCTACAAACAGCTCCCGACATAATCCGAGCCTATGAAAGAGACAGAAAGGGTGAAGGTCCTGCCTTGGACTGAAATATTCTCGGAGGACCTCAAATTTAGGCCGGCGGGAGTGAAACGGTATTCACCAGTTCGCAGTAGCCGATGCAGATCCCAGGGCTCGATCCCTAGTCCCCACCTTACCTGTGTACAGTACCTGTGTCAACTCGTAGACTTGAACCGTGACCTGTAGGACAGCCAGTGGTAGGTAGGTCGTCGTGGGCCAGGGAAGCAGGGCAGGCCAACGAGTCACAGGAGTATAAATCAAGAKGCCGCGCACAGCCATTCATTCATTCCTGCGGAAGCCATGCGGAAGCGCTGCCTCAGTGCTTGTGCGAGGGGGTCTGCAGTAGGCCCGAAGCAGAAGTGGGCGAGAGTGACGAAGTAGCCATAGCGCTAGGGTAGAGGCAGCTAGCGCTGCCATAGCTGTAGCTTAGGGTGTAGTGTGTGTGTGATGCGTGAGTGTTTGGAGGGTCGCGTGTGGGATATCCAGGGTGATCCAGTGTGTGTGAACAGTGGGTTGTGGGGCGCTGAGTCGCCATAGCCAGTGGAAGTGAACACTTACCTGGAAGCCATATCTCTGAGTACTGTGTGGGCGCATGTCGCCAGTTTGTTGTGCTGCTGTTCACATGCATGAAAAGTGTGAATAAGACGAGTCTGATTGCAGATGACATGTCGCACAGGCACACGGCATCGTCAAGCATTGATCCATCGATCCGCGAGATGGAAGGACCGCTGGATCACCTGGTCGCGCTTGTCAGCAATTTGAACAGTTTCCGACACCCGACGACCATCAGCCAGCAAATAGCCGCCCTACAAGTGGATCTGCGTCAGCTGCAGCAGCAACCAACTGGGACCTGCAACAACTTGACACCGAAACTATACAAGATGCTGAAGTTCAGCATCGACAAGTTTGATGACTACCACAAGGGGGACCCCATCAGTTGGTGGCAAGGGTTCACCAATGAGCTCTCCATCCACTCGGTCCCGTCAGAGTCGAAGATCTCAGTACTTCACCTCTGCATCGGTGCCAGCCAAGTGTGGCTCAACCACCTGGCTCAAACCGAAGGCGTCGAAGTCTCGAAGCTTTACACCAAGATCACTTGGGAGGCCATGACCGAGAAGTGACGGAAACGCTTCATCGTCGACGACGCTCAAGGCAAAGGCCTGAACCGGATCTTCAGCATGCATCAAGGCAGCCAGCCAACATGCGAATGGCTACCGAGTGGCAGAAAATTGTGACGATTTCGAATTTGGACATCCCATTCGTACATCTTCGTCGCGAATACTTCCAGCGGTCAGTTGACGCGTTGAGCACGGCCCTTGGGGAGCGCAACCTGTACACGGAGTTCGACCAGATCGTGGAGAAGGCGCGCGAAGCCAACCGAATTTTGTGGAAAAGGGCAAAGTCCAGTGGCCGCGGCAAGTCGCTGCTGTCCAAGGAACTGGACAAGAGAACGACCAGGCGATGACTCACGAGTCTAGTGAAGGAGACAGAGTCAACGCCCTTCCGCCACGACGCAACAACAACAAGAAGGCGAAATCTGCATCAACAACGGAAGTCGGACAACCGAATGAGCCATGGTACCAACGCTTCATCGGAGGATACGCACGGATCGCCGCACCTTTGTCCAGATTGCAGTCTCCACAGGTGCCCTTCCAGTTCACCGACGAAGTCCGCAGTTCGTTCCAGAAATTGAAGACGGCGTTGCTCCTCGCTCACATCTCGAGTATCTACGATCCCACCTTGCCTACGAGAGTGACTACAGACGCTTCCGGCTACAGCATGGGTGCACTTTTGGAACAACACGACGGAGTAGACTGGCATCCGGTTGAGTACTTCAGCCAAAAGGTGCCTCCCATCAACTCCGTTGATGATGCGCGAAAGGAGGAGTTGCTTGCGATCGTCACGATACTCAAGCGTTGGCGACACTTCCTCCTCGGGCGTCGTAGGTTCACTTGGGTGACGGATAATAACCCATTGACCTACTACAAGACGCAAGACATGGTGAGCAGCACGATTGCTCGATGCATGTTATCTCTCGAAGATCAGATCTTTGCACAGTGACTCACCACGCGTTCAGTTTTGACGAAGCCCTACATCAGCATTTTGTGCGAGCATACAAGTCCTATCCGGAATACGGCGCGCTCTACGAGCAACTATCCTCGGATCATCCGTCAGCCAGCCATTATTGCATCGTCGATGGCTACCTGCTGCTTCACTCACGAGGCAAGGACTTACTATGCATCCCACACAACCGTCGCTTACGGACTCGTCTCCTGGGCGAGTACCACGACTCGAGCCTCGCCGGCCACCTCGGAGTCAACCGTACGATCGCAAGACTTCGGCAGCGATTCTGGTGGCCTGACCTCATTATCGACGTCACTCGATATTGCGACTCTTGTGAAGTTCGCCGACGAATCAAACCCCGCAATCGCAACCCCTACGGTGAGTTACGCTCGTTGCCTATTCCACGGGAACCCGGCCTCTCCATTGCCATGGACGTCACTGGGTCATTCCCTCGCGAAGTCACGACCGTTGACCGTTTGAGCTTTCTTCCTTGCAAGTACCACGCCACGACTTCAGAACTTGCACGCCTCTTACACACCGGCTGGATTTGCGGCCACGGCGTTCCGGAAGACATCGTCAGCGACCACGACACTCGGTTCATGTCGGCATTTTGGACCTCGCTCATGAAAGAGTCCGACACCGAGATGAAACGAAGTTCGGCTCGGCATCCGCAAACGGACGGGCAGACGGAGCGGGCACATCAAACCGCTCAAGTAATGCTTCGCACACTCATCCGTATGGATCAGAAGGATTGGGTGGACCGCCTTCCCGACATCGAGTTCGCCTACAACACTTCTGTGTACCCGGCGATCGGTGTGACTCCGTTCGAGTTACACCACGGTGGCCGGAAGGGCCGCATCTTCGCTGATCTTCCTTTTCCAAGGACTGCTGACATTGACGCCGCTTGTTCGCCCGCCTTCGTTCGGAAGTATAGGGACTTGCTGGATAAAGCCCGCGCCAACATGCAAAAGGCTCAAGTCCGCATGCAACAGCAACCCAACAGGCGTCGCTGGCCATGCCCCATCCGCCCCGGCAACCTTGTTTGGGTCTCCACGGAAGAGTTTGCACTCGAACAGGTTGTATCCCGCAAGCTACTTCCAAAGTGGTTTGGACCATGGCCTGTCACATCAGCCGCGGGTGATGAGCCCTATGGCCCCTCGTTTGTGATCGAAATCCCGCCGTATCTCACGGTGCACCCGGTTTTCCACGCCTCCAAGCTGGCCACTTATACACCAGCCAAGAGTGACGACTTCCCGGGACAACGATCACAAGACCCTCCTTCCATGGATGGTCATCAGGAAGTCGACCGCGTCATCACGCATCGCAAGCACGACAACAAGCCTATGCAGTACAAAGTCACATTCAAGTGGTGTGACCCCGATGACACGGGATGGATTTCCCGGGCAGCTTTGCAAGCCTCCGCTCCTGACATCTATGCTCATTACGAGAAGAAAGGGCTAGCGACGGAAGCTGCACAGCCTCCCACCCGGACCTCAGTCCCTCCCTCCACCAGACAGCTTCGCCCTCGCAGGTAAGCTCGGTCTTTCAAGGAGGGCGAAGTGTGGCATACTCCGTACCGCACGGGCCCAGCAGAGCCCGACCTGGTAGATTAAGGGTCCGTAGGGGTAGGGCCTGTTTCAGGCCCTGTGTCGTTTCGGCCTGCACCCTGAAAACGACGGGCCATATTCAGGCCCTCGCAAGATCGACCTACCCTGAAACTCAGGCACCAGACCGGGGTTTTAGCTCAGGCCTTTAAGGCCTATTTTGTGGAGCATCAACCCCAGGGTCTGGCACGTTTTGGCGTAGGCACGAGCAGCCTC